TGGGTTGGGTCAAAAATGCCAAGGAATACCTGCACTTCACATGAGACTCCATGTTACTGTGTGAATCCAGGAATAAACTCTGGTCCCCAGCAGATAGCTCTGCAGTTCAAGGGCCAGAAAAAGACTCCCTCTAGTTTGTGCTATAAATAGACAAGAGTGCAAAGGAAAGCAATTTAGAGAATACTTTTATTTTTACTGAGTTGAAGCCCCCATTGTATTGAAATATAGAAAAGGATCACTGCTGACTTAAAATTCTGAGCTGCTTGAAACGATATGCCTCCAAAATAAAGGAAGCAGTGATGTGCTATCCGAGTATCTGACAGTATGATCTACCAGCCATACTACAGTGAAAGTAATGTCAACTGAAATTCAAGCATTACTATGGAAAATTTTAGTGCCACTTTTATTCCACTTCTTATAATGTTGTGGTTGTTTTTCTGGGACAACCCTCATGTATAATAAGTAATACTTTCATAACTCTGAGCTCTTCTTGTCTGGTGCCTGGAAGAATTTTGTATGTCCCTCAGCCCCATTGCTTCTAACTGGAAAAACTAGTTCTGTTAAAGTGTCTCTTTTTTCATATATCAATCCTTCATATATGCTGCTATTTACTAAACATGGTCACAGATATTGCCATAAGCAGAAGCAAAAGCACTGTGGAGGAGTCTGTTTCAAACAATACTACTTATGATATTCTGTGCATCTCAATTTCAGGACTTTGCCAGATAACATTTCAACTCCTTTGCTTCTGTAGGCAGGAAAGAAAACTCCTGAATGACTTAGTTCAAATTGGCCAATCCTGTGTAACTACAGGCAAACATTTACCTAATTTTCAGTGTTTCAAGCACTGTCCATCTCCATGCCCCCTTGTGGGAAATGGTCAATTAAAAGCAGAAATGCCTCAGCCATTTATGTCACTGTTCCTTGTGTTCATTAATAGCCTGGCAGAAGTGGAGATGCTTTGGGGAGTATTGCAAATAGTCTCTGGCATGTCCCTTCTATTCTCTATTATTGCCAACTAACATCTGCATGACAAGACAGTCAACGCGGTGAGCAGTTGTGGGGGAAGCAGTGTGTAATCCTCCTTAAACCTTCTGTCCCAGTTATTGCCTTTTGTGAGCAATTTCAGGACTGTGTAACTGCTACTGAGCATGTTCCCCTTTTGTATTTTTCTCATGTAAACCAAATATTGGCAATGTCAGGATGAAAGAAGTGGATAATTTGGAACTTAAAAATTCCTTAGTGATTTGAACTTTTTTTTTCCTTTGGTGTCCTTAGTTTTGGATTTGAAAAATGGGCACAGCAGTTCTCCAAACAGCCTTTGTTTTCAACCTACTCAGCGACATATGGGACCAAACAGTACACATAACATTACAGTATGAGAAGTTATCGCAGCAAATTCTTTTTACTTCACACTTAGGTTGACTTGTCAAGTAAGAATAGTTCTCTTGTTGAAGAAGCAACAACTTGAATTCTGTGAGCATGTGCCCATTCTCTCAAATCCAGCACTAACATGCAGAAATACCAGTTGTACTGGTGAGGGGGAAGTAATTTTATGTGTTTGTAGAGGGCAAGGGATTATGGAGATTAGGGACTTGCAGTAGTCATCAGAGGATAAAAAATGGCCAGATGCCATTGCACATGGGTTACAGGGTGAACTGCTGAAGACAGATGGTAGCTGTTCCTGTTACTGAGCAAGTAGCATTCCAAGGGCAGAGTTCTATAGTGTACCTAAAGAGCTATCAGTAGATTTCCAGGTTCCTGAAATTTACCTTTGTTCTTCACTGAAATCTTGCAGAAACTATTAACGTACCTAGTTTCCCATAGTTAATCAACAATGTCTGCAGTGAACCTGCTGACCAGACTGGAATGTTCCCATTTCCTATCCAGCTACAATATTAAAATGGGTTATGTAAGACTAGTTCTGTAGTCATGCATCAGTTTTCAGATAAGAAGTTATATGGTTTCGAGTCTTTTAACTCTTTTCTAAAATTTGAGCCTGGCTGTTAGGATTGTTCCTGGTAAGATTTTTTTGTGGCTTTCTAAAATGCTTGTGAACTGTAGACTGTTGCTGTTCTGTTACCTGTCAGGTTTAAAAGTAGTTTTTGAGGTGCTGAACACTGATGCTAACCTCACTTCTTGGATGGAGTTGAGGACATATTGAAGCCTAGAGCAAGTCAGTGAATATGCAAAGAGAAGGAAGGAGCTGAAACCAGAACAGCATTTAAAAGGCTGAGGGGCTAAGCCTGTGGGATCTCATCCTCAACTTGATGGCCTTTCTGTGATAGAAAATCGATATTTAAATGCTGCACCTGTTTCATTCAAAAATGTCAGGAAATGCTGTTGGCAGTGCCATGAAACTGCTCTAAAAATCAGAAGGGAGAAATGCAGAGATAGGAAAGAACAGTCTCTGCTTTTGTAATTGGTAACAAACTAAACTTGGATCATTGTCAGCAGGTCTTTGGAAGAATTGCTCCTGGAAAGGAACAGGTAACATGTTCCAAGACTATATCACTCCTTTGCACTGGGATAGCTGACACCCTGAAAAACAAAGATAGGCAAGGCATGAGGAGGACAGCAGAATGCAGAGACTCTGCCACAGGAGAGCAGAGTTTGCAGGGAGGGAAGCGGCAGGAATGAGGTGCCCACAGTGCATGGTTAATGAGGATAAGTAAACAATTGGCAATGGGAGCGGCAGAGCACAGGAGGCACCAAGATTCCCACCATATATGTAAAATGAGCACATCTATATTACCCAGGTAGGTCCTTACCAGTCCCAAACTTGTTTGGGGTCCAATGGCACCCAATTGCCAGGACAAAGAAAGTAATCATTGAGTGGGATGTCTTTAACATCCCTATTAACACTATTAGATAGTGTTAATAACACTAACAATAGCATCACTATTAGAGGTGTCATTCTGTTTTCAATCTAGTAAGAAGGCAGGACAAGACTGCCTGCTTATCTTTAAGAAAATCAAAACCAGAGCATAGAAGCAAGTGGTTTTGTACAAGGGTAGCAGTAATCATGTTTGACCTTGAAGCTGCAGTTCCACAATACCAGATGCTAGCATCCCACTGCCTTTGGAAAAGCAAGGTTTTGATCTTCACAGTGTGCTTCCATTGCTCACCTTAACACAGGCCAGAAGGCTTACTGATCTCAGTACATTACGAGTAAACTGAAGACTATTTAAATTACTGTATTTGTAGAAAAACAAACTATAAGCCCAAAACAAGATGCAGCCTTTCACTAGGCTCTGCAATAAATCCATTAAGCACTAGAGGAAAAGAAGAGCTAGAGTTATGCTGCTGAGGGCAGAATGTTGGAGTTTTCTCTGACTATCTGATAATGTCATAAGAGGACTGCAGCAACAATAGGTACATAATATATACAATTAATGTATATACATGTAGAAGCAAGATATTTTTTGAGGAAAGACCATCTAAATTGTCTAAATTTGGTCTATAATAATGTCTATAATGTAATAATGGTCTGTAATAATATATTAAATATTGACTGAAAACTAAATTCATCCAGTACTGGTTTAGTTATATTGGAGATGACATTTCAATTTAGCTTAAAGATAAGTGACACAGAGGTGTTGCTGTCTTTGTTTTTTGTTCAGTGCATCAATTGAAGGGTTAACAGAAAATGAAGATCATATGGGGTCAAATGCTTTATATAATTTTACAGGAGTGTTCTGTCTAAAGGGATGCATTTCACCGCTGCATTTCAAAAGGAAACCTCTTGATGTTTTATTGCCATTTAACGTGTCCCTGCAGATGACAACTGAAATTACTGCTGTAGAATATTTATCTTTACGTTCTTTGGAACTGCTTATGTGTCTGGGCTCCTAAATGTAAAGTAACAAATACAGAGATGTTAAAGAGAGCAGTTATGTGGGGGTTTTAGGGGCTTGTGAAGGGTAATCCAAAAGTTACTTCAATCATAACATCTTCCCTTGCTTTTAGATACATCTGTTTGCTGGCATGTAACTAACTTCAGCATTTGTAAGTGGTTCTTACTCCTCTGTTAACAGCTAAGAAAAATATTACTTGGAAACTGCAGAAAAATGGTAAGGTTTCAGAATAAAAGAAACAGAACATTTTCCAGTAATAAAAGGTAATTTAAAAAGTGACAGGTGAAACCACTTTTCTTCACTCTGACTCAAAAATGTTGTTAAGAGTAAACATTAACGCGTGAAAAGGGAGTTAGAAGTAATTCAGGGTGGAAGCACTGACAGAATGTTTCCCAAAGCAGTGGTTTACAATGTAGTGGTATTCTGACTAATGAAAGGCTTACTGAGATCAACAGCACATTTTCAAATGCAGTAAGCACATGCATCACAGTTACTGTGTCAAGCCACAATAATAGGGTAGTGTCAACCTTTCACAGGCTCCTACGTTCACATTTTTGAGTCCTTCTGCCAATACTTGTGAATGACTGCAGAGCTAAACAATTCTAGGCATGTATCTTCATGGGGATTTGGGTTAGTATCAATTTGATTTAAGTTTGTTAAGTGGTAAATTTTCACTGTAACTGGAAGCATTTTGAAAACTAGATTCTTGCACACCACATAGTGTGAAAATGAATTAAAACTTCTGTTAGGAATCTAAACTGTATTTAGGGTTTCCTTGCTGGCCTAAGGAAGGTCAAAGTGATGCTACTTCTTCAATGCAGTGTTATCCTTTAATATCAGAGCGCAAACTCCAGCACTGTGCAATTAGGTCAATTAGCTGGTTTTTTCACCCTCTCCGACACAATCCAAGGGTTTGTCTCTGCCTGTAAATAGAAGTAGCTGTGAGATATAGTAGCTCTGAAGCTATTGCTTTTGAAACCTACAAAGAGATCCTTGTTTCTTCCTGGTATCAGCAGCCACACACTAAAGTTTGAGAAGCTCTACAACGTCTAGTAAGTAACGTAAGCAGCCGTGTAGCATCTAGTAAATGTGATGAGTAACTTTCTGGCCAAAATGAAAGTAAAGAAATTACAGCACTGCCTGTTTGTGACAGGAAATTTTATTGTACTTGTTTGTTAATTGAGAAAGGAACATACCAGCTCAATTCAACACGATCAGCATCTTCCTCCTGGCTTTGGATAAGCTAGCAAATCCGGTGTTTCCAATACTAATTTATTATTTTTATTTTTCTTAAACTGACATCTCAGAATAAATGTGTGTTCTTCTCTTCATGTTTTAGTAGCCCAACTACTTTGCTTTATTATTTAATCCGTGTCATCAAATGTATCCCCCCCAAAGAACTGAGGCTCTGGGAATTCATAGCCGTGAGAAAAAAAAATGCACAAAACTAACAAAACTTTGTTTTTATAATTTAACAGTCTAATAAAACAAGACCTAGCAATATATTAAGAAATAAATCCAGTTACAAATGCATGTATATAGAAGGAACTTCTGAGGATGTCAGAACAGAAAACGATCAGCTATTTACAAGATACACAGCAAGGTGGTACAGTAGCCAAGACCCACCATTCAGAAACCAAATGTGTTCTCTCCACTGTAGGCAACATACAAGAATCCATCCTCATCCTTTTCCTTCTCATAAAGTTGTCCCATAGTTAAGCTTGAAAGGGAAAAAAAGATAAATGGTTTGCTTGGCTCATGCAAGGTGTTAATGTTAACAGTTAGAACCCCATATAAACAAGGATTAATAAAAGCCAAAACTTTTAAGTTTGTGTGTAGGTTAGAATACAAAAAATGAGGGTAAATGAAAAGCAGTTGACTCCTAAGTTAGAGGAATTATCCTGGATTCTGCAGAGTAAATTTTTTATATTTCTTCATAAATGCCTTTGTCAGAATGCTTCCTTATTTTGTTGGAAATTGGTCTCTATTTTGAAAACAAAAAGAAACCCTAGCAATTATTTGGCTGATCAACTGCTCCAACCATCTGTCTACAGATGGTTGGAGCAGTAGACATCAGTTGGGTGCACAAATGAAGCCTCCTCAGCTCACCTTTCTGACTTCCCAAAACTGAGAAAAGGCTAATGAACTGGAAGATGGAGATGGATGTGACATGGAAAGCAACGATGTCATTCTGCCCAAGAGAGGAGCTGGGAAGATTTGTAAGCAGTACTTGAAATGGAAGAGAATTGGTGAGTAGTAGATTGATCACCAATCCTTGACCTCCTTCTCTCTTCATGCAGAAGTTTATTACATAAACTGAAGCCTGTGAGATGAGCAGAGCCATGAGCAGGTTGTCATTTTGTTTATCGGTTAAGAAGTTACCATTTTTACATTCATATTGAATGATCAAAGCCCCTTTTTTCTAGCTGAGATGTGACATCTCATTATGAACATGTGAGAATAGACAATGTATCTTTCTTTCCTGCTCCTAGCAATTCTATAATACTGTTACAAAGATGACATACAGGCATACTGATTCTCAGTACTGTTAGAAGAAAACAAGCAGAAAAGGATGGCTCTCACAGGTCCCTATTGTGTATCGGGTTACCTGGAGGGACTCTTTCTTTTACAATTAAGTATTAAGAATAATACCACATCTAAGGCATGTAATGACATACTGTTTCCTTAAATGCTACTAAAGTATCTGGTGTAGAAAGTTGTAGTTGCTGCTTCTGCTATATTCTATATGTAGCAGAAAACAATGATACTTATTCCTGTATAAAAGCAATGTGAAAAACCTTTCTATTGCAATTATTCTTTTTTTTCATAGAAGAAAATAATAAAAAAAACCCAGCAACTAGTTTGTAATGTTATAATTTCTTTGTAAACTGGCAGGTTATTGGTTTTTTTCAGAATAATTTATGGCATTTGCTACTGAGTATTTAATGTGCAGCCTTTTTGTTATACTGAGAATCATTGTTTTCTTGATATTGATGACCTACGTGTTTTTGCACTCGACCAAATGCAACAACATAGCAACTGCAAAGCTCACCCTTTTGCCATGGAAGTAAATTACAGTATATTTTTTATCTCCTTTCCTTTCAGCCTAGCTCAAGAAATAATATGTTTATCAAATTTATAAGAAAAAAAAAAATTAGTGAGATTAAGATGTGACAGACATCTCCTAAAATCACCAAATGAGCCTTGAAGAGCGGTGTTACTGACCCTCTAGTATGCACAGGCTTGCTGTAATGACTCTGAATACCAAGTGAATAGCCTCTCACCTGGATTGTGGGACAGTCTTGTCTACAAAGAGGAATATTGCCTTCTCAGATGGCAGTTGAATCCTCTTCCTGATGATCCACATGAACTGGGCCACGGTGATGTCAGATGGAACTAAGTACTTCCTCTTGTCAATATCAACAATCTGAGATCCTGAGACCTTCTCCACTATGACCTGTAAAGTGCAGGTGTGAAGGTCAGGCTGTTCAGGATTGGTATGAACAGACAGCTTTGGTGGATCACTTGCTCATACAGGCTTACAATAGTGAGTAGAGGGGATGAACAAAAAGGTTTCCTGACCACAACCAAATCAGAGGTATGGAACTGGCTCAGCACTGTAAAACCTGATTTTACAGCTGCACTGAAACCTACGTTTATATACACAATGGCTTGAAACTTCCTGTGCCTGTGTTTGGCAGTTATGGGGTAAGGCATTATGCCTTAAAGATACCTGTGACAGGAAAGTACGCACATCACTTAACCTTTTGTACGCTGATGATATGAAATTACTGCAATGTGGACCAAAGCTGAAAATGAACCAGCAGTGTACCCTGGACACAAGTAAGGCCAATAGTGTCCTGGACTGCAGAGGATTGGGAGGTGATCCTTTCCTTGTACTGGTACTGGTGAGGCTACCTTTGTATTCTGCTGAACTGACATTTACAGTATTCCATCATCGCTTCAGAAATCAGAAATTGACTACAGAAAGGAAAGACAGCAAGATGGCCACAAACAAAACCAAACAGAAAGCAACAGGTACAGGAGGAAGGATAATTAAGTACTGCTTGTGAAAAAGACCCAATGCTCATTGTACTACACGGACTGATTCTTGAAGGAAAAATACAGCAGGTCAGGAAATGGGGTTTACAAGAGGTTCCAGGGTCTCCATTCCTTAGCTCTGCATTCCACTTGAAACATTAAGTTTGAAAAACACTTCTGACTGTTAAATTGATACCAACTATTTGGTGTCAATGGTATGCAGCTCAATTTGAATCATCAAACAGAAAACATATACCAGTCCAGACAAAGGATTGCTGCAATTTGAGATTCAATTCCTGTATCTGTCTACACCTTGCTGTCCATTCTTGATGCAGCAGCATGTCATTCTCACTCACACTATGAGTTTCTATATCTCTTTTTCCCCTAAGGTTATCAAGGATATTTTTGAAATGGATACTAATGTATGGTCATTAAGGATGCTGCAGTCTATGTGTGAGGGAATATTAGTCAAGAGAGAACAGCAAGGATCATACCAGCTCACCAGACTGCAACTGGAGAAAATCTTGTGACTAGGTGCAACTGAGCAGCACAGAAAGTCAGTGGGAATGAAAATTCTTTTCTGGGCTGTGCTAATAGAAAAGTTACTTACCAAAAGGTGAGGGGCAGGAGTGGCACTAACTGGCACGTGGTCAAATGGGATGTGGGGAATTTTACACTCGAGTAAGTTGCGAATGTGGACATGTTGCTACCTAAGGATGTGAACTGTGGTCTTTTTAGAGACTGAAACATGGTAAAAGGGATTGCGGAGAGAAGAAGAGAGCTCATTCACTATTTAGCAGATTGGTAGGTATTAATGCAGAAGTCACCACTTGCAATGGCTCTTCAAACAGGGTTTGCATGGGGAAAGTCAACATGATGACTGGTTATAGGCGTGAAATACATGAGGGATCTCACCTAACTAACCTAGCCAGGATGGAAGATGGTCAAGGTTTCAATAGTAGGTTTCATAATCTTTCTAAGGATCAGGTACAATCTTCAAGACAATGAAGGTATTTGCTGGGATGTAATTGCCGTTAGAAGAAAACAGGACCACGACATATCATAAAAATCTCTGGAAAGTTTGTAGAAAGCTTATTTGTCAATATACTGGGACAGAGGAGGAAATGTTGGAGTAGTTAGATGTATTTGGGGCTTTTTTAAAACATACAAGGACACAAAAAGAAAATGCATTCACTCAGTAGGAACTCATCAGAGTGGGCAAGATAGAAACAGTGTATCCACCTTTGCCTGTAGGTACTGGGTTGAAGCTGGCGTGGCTACTCACCGGGACACGGTCGGGGTATTTGGCTCGGATTTTTGCGGACTCGACACATCTGTGCTCTGTGAACAAAACTCGTAATTAGTCATTGCATAGTAATTATATTGCTGGTGTCCTAGGCCGAGAGGGACGCGATCTTATTAGGCCGAGGATCGCGATCTTATTCCCGCCTCCGAGCGGGTCTCTAGTTTTTCGGGGAGACCGTCCCCGGGCATCGCACTACTCTTCGGCGAGGGGCGCCAGCGGCGGTCCGCCCACAGACAAGACGACCGCCTGGGGACGCCGAACGCGACAGAGGGCGACACGGGAGATGGAGGGCAGCGGGCCGCTGCCAGGCAGCGCCTGGCCCAGACCCACCCTTACCCAGCGCGTGGTCCTCCTTGAACATCCACTTCATGGTGCAGGCGGGCGGGGAGCGAAGCCAGAGGCGGCGAGGCCCGTGTGCGGGGGGCGGGGGCTCGTGCCGGGCCTGTCGCTGTCACGGTCCCTGTCACAACAACAGCCGCGGCTCGGCAGGCGGGACTTCCGGCTAGCTTGTTCCCCGGCAACAACTTGAGCATCCGCGCTTCCGGCCGGTGATCACGGGGCGGGGCTGTAGCATCTGGGCACGGCATCACCTGCCGGGTGCGAAGCCGCCCGCAGGCTCCCGGAGCACTCGAAGCCGCTCCAAAGACTTCATCGCCCCTGCAGGTTTCCCCATCCCGCTGCCGGGCGCTGTCTCCCCGACAACCGCGGGAGGCAGCGGTGCGCGTTCATTGGCTGATACGCCCGTCCCCTCGGCGCTGATTGGCGCGGCGTCTCGTCAGTCCGACGCTCCGCCCAGTGCAGCGCTGAAGGCGCGGGCGGGGGCGGCCGGCGCGAATGCGGGCTTGCGTGCGGGTGGTGCTTGCGGACGCTGAGGGCCGCTCGCCATGGCTGGCGTGGAGCTGTTCTCGCATCCCGCGCTGTACACGCGCTACCGGGCTGGGTTCTGCTCCGCCGCTGCGCTGGCGCTGTTGCTCATCACGGCGCTCACCTATGTGCCGCCGCTGCTGGTGGCCTATAGGAGCCACGGTGAGCGCCACTGGACTCTACGCGGCCCGGCCGGGCCTGGCGCAGTCCTGAAGCCTCGTGCTGTTTCTGCCCTCAGGTTTCTGGCTGAAGCAGAGCGCGTACCTGGAGCAGCCCACTGTTCGTTTCCGATACGAGGCTCTCTTCGTCGCCACTATCGGTTCCGGACCGGGCAGCTTCTTGGCGTGGAGCACATTCCCAGCGTTCAACAGGCTCCAGGAGGACCGGCTCCGAGTCCCGCTTCTGTCGGTAGGCCTGCCGGGGGCGGCCCGGCAACAGTGGCGAGAAGTGAGGCTGCAGAGTGGGGCCAGTGGACCGGCAGCCGGCTCAGGGCACGAGTGCTGATGGCGCATTTGAGCGGGTGGCCCTTCAGGCACTGCTGCCTACAGGTAGCAGCAGCTTTATGTATAACCTTGTGCCTCACATCCGGATTTGCTGGATTTTTAATGAGTCCCGTTTCACTCCCTCTCAGTGTCACTGAATCATAGCATTACTTAGATTGGAAAAAGCCCGTAAGACCAAGTCCAGTCATTAATCAAACCCTACCAATTTTTCCACTAAACCATGTCCGTAAGCACTGCTGAACAAGTCGGTTTACTTTCATCAAATTAGGTGTGCCCCTTTCCCCTGGCCACGTGGCTTCTCATGATGTGAGGTTTGCAGGGTACTCCTAGATTTGGAAGTAGATATGTGCCTTCAGAACCATATAATCTCTGCCTTGCAGTCACTTTTCTTTCTAGGATTTCACAGCGACAGTTATTTTTCTGTCTGCCTCTGTTAGAAGCCCTGCTATATTTTGCAAGTAGCTGAAGTACTGGACACTGGCACACAGGCATAGCAAACCTTGGCTTACAGCCAGGAATCAGCATACAGAGGCCATTTAAGAGGCTACAATGGCAGGAGGCACAAGCCTGATGATCAGTCATATATTTGCACTGTGTCTTACAGAAAATCCAGCACTAAGGCGTGCTTTGTGGCATCCAAGGGAGATGGTTAGAATGGTGTAAGGCAGAAAAGACCTTGAAGTAAACTTTCCCTCCCTGGAGGGGTGCATGAGACCTTGCATAACAGATGACACTGTTGGCTTTTTGTTTGTCTGTAGTCTTCTGTCTGTAAATAGTCAAGTAGCTTTTTATTGCATTCCTAACTATGCAGTTTATTTGCTTCCTTGGTATGTGCTTGCTGCAGTTGTAGGGTCCCCTGGGGTTTTACTTTTTTTTGTTTTTCTTTCTAACAGAAATTCCTGTCTTTAAAAAAAAATTTGTTTAGACTAGAGAAGAAGACAAAAATCAAGATGGCAAAATGGATCAGCTGCATTTTAAACTGGAACTTCCATTACAACCAACAGAGCATGTAGTTGGTGTTCAGCTGATTCTACTCTTTTCCTACCAGCTTTATGTGAGCACTTTTAGTTTTGTTTGTTGTGATGTATAGACCCATTGTAAAATTCCAGTAGTGGTTATACAAAAGATGAAAAGAAACCTTCCGCATTTGAAATTCCTGTCTAAAATATGTATTTTACTGAAAAATATTTAATTTTCTCCTTCTCTGCTGTGTCATTCCTAGTCTAGCTGTCTTGTGTATTTTGATACCCTTTGTTAGAGTTTTGTTTTATTTTGTTTTTTTAATATTGTTAAGCTCTATATTCTGTTGGGCTGTAGTATGGCTACAACAGTGAGTATCAGTGTGGGTGGCACCTGAAAATAACTGAAAGTCTTGCAATAGGCAGAAGGATGTGCATTCCTACACACTGCTGTGTCTTGACATAACCAGTTCATTTTCTGAGGTGGAGAGTCAGGCTGTTGCAACAGCTTAAAACTCCTTAGATTTTGCTTAACACCTCTTGAAGCATCGATAATCATCTGCCAGGATCTTCTGTATCTTGTAACTGGGACAAGGAAGTGTTATAGGAAGACAGGACAATGAAATTCTACTGCCTTTGTACCTCAAATGGGAGTGCAATGAATACCTAAAGCAAAGAGTAAACCACCAGCACACAGAGAACCCAGGGATACATCTAAAAAGAGCAATAATACAGAGCTGTGTTGGGTACAGTCACATATACAAAAAGTTGTTTTGCTAGGGAGATTAGGCTGTTTCTTTAGAGAGTCTTGCTGATTGCAGATGGACAAGCTTAGCAAGTATAGCTATGTGGTGTAGAAAACATTCTTAAGCCTGAGGCACAGAATAAAGGCCCAACAGTCCTAAATTTGGGATGAAGTATTTGGTCAGGTATTAGTATCACAGAGAGTTAGGATATTCACAAGACTTTTTTTATCCCACTGTAAATGCGGAAATTTTCCTTCAGACTGAGTGGCTGATAAGAACTAAGGACCTACCTTCTTTATTTGGTTCTTGTTGCAGAGTACAAGTCCTTGATTTTAACTGCTGAGTTCTTTTAAAGTGTCTCCAATTAATGTGTTTAGACACCTTGCTGCTTTTTACATGTTATGGCTAGTCAAAACTTTCTGTCACTGGCCAAAGACATTGGACTTCACTGAATTTCCTGTGGAACTTTGTTGAGATAATAAAGTTAGTTAACTATTAACTAAGGTAGTTTACTTAAAAAAAAAAGTATTTTTTATTTGGTGCTCTCTTGTTTAGACTAAGGTGATGATCTGAAACTTGGGAGTCCTGGAAAAATCAAATCCATGTAGAAAAATGTGTAGATACCAAGAGGTAGAAAAGTGTGTTGTGTCTCTCCTCCCCCCGCTAAATTTTCCTTTTTTGTGTTCACTATTTCAGAGAATGTCAACATTTGTGATGCAGAGCATGGCTTTTCTTCAGTTTTTTTCTCCTGTGCCAGGGTCTCAGCTCTATGTGAATGGAGACTTGAAATTAAACCAGAGGCAATTACTTAACCACTGTGGACTGGATACCAGATACAATGTGAGGAAATGTTTTTCCCTTCCCCATCAATTCACCCCCCCGACCTATTAATCCACCTAGTATCCTGGGTGACACCCTAATTATTTGTACTACTGCACAGAGTGAACTGTAAGACTTTGGAACTGGTGTTTTCTTGTTAGACTACAAGAGGGAAGAGGTTATTCTGCCAAGATGTTCAGTCTGATGTTTATGTTCATTCCCTGAAGGGCGTGGTTACTTTGTGTAACCAGTAACCAGTAAAACTACTGTCTTGAAGACTGGACAAATAATTAAAGTGTGTCCTTGTTGTAACAGGTGTCTGTGGTCAATGGCACAAGTCCTTTTGCAAGTGACTATGATCTAGCAAACATCATGGCAGCATATTGGGATAGAAATGGTAAGCCTGAATGTGTAGCTACAGGACAGTAGCAGTTAGCATATTGGCAGCTGTTTTGTGAGATATATGACTACTGTATTAATACCTAAAAGCTCCTTAACCTGGACATTTCCTTTCTCCATTATAGTGACAACAGTATTTTCAGATCCCAGCCCTGTTTGGATGACTGGAAGAGCAACAGATACACCATTTATCATTAATGCCACCATTCATTATCCAGTGGAAGTTATCTTATATCCTTCAAAAACTGCACAAACTGTGACATAACAGGGTTATAGTAATTAAGCCTGAACCACAATGTTGCTAAACTTTTTTTGGGGGGGGGGGTTTGTTGTTTTTTTTGTTTGTTTGTTTGTTTTGTTTTGTTAGCTAAGCAAATGCTACCGTTCTGGAGTGGATGAAATACCTATTTGTCCATTCCTTCAGATGGTTGTGCCTTTATAACCACTTTTTTGCTTTTCTTACCCATTGGTAACCTGTGTTGCTTTTCAGCTTTGCTAAAAAGGCCTTTAAAGCAGTTTGTTAGCTATTGTCAGGGAATATTCGTAGTACATCTTGCTTTGGGTTCTGCAGTACCTGCTGTCCCGATCTGTCACAGATGCCACTCACAAAGCATGACACTGTAGTCTGTGACCTAAAGCAAATGATTAGAAATCTGTATGCAACATCATCTCACCAAATAATAACTCTCGCAGTGGGAGGTTGTTACATCTGTTCATGTGCAGACAGACCGGAATTTTTTTCTTTTGAAAAAGTAACTCTTCATTCATTATATTCTTTGTTCTTTTTCTTAGACAAGAACAAGTCTGCATTTAGAAGAATCTGTATGGAGCACACTTCTTACAAGATTTGTTTACCTGCCTGAATATTAACAATAAGTACTTCCTGATGACTCAGGCACAAAGTACGTACTTTATCTAGAATTGGTTTAAATGTCTTCTAGGACAGACATTCTCTCCAGCTTTTGTTTCCTACCGTGGTGGAAGGCTTTTAGGTGTTTCTATGGTTCACAGGTTTAGCATTTGTGACACAAACCGATGCCTTAATAAGGTTTGTGCCTAGGAGTTTCCTTGTTTAGATATTGCAATGGCAGCATTAGAAGGTTCTCTATTAACGCTCCTTGACTTTCTTTACATATCAGCCAGGATTCTGGGAAATTATTAAATTTGCCTGGATCCAGTATGTCAGCATCCTCCTTATCTTTCTTTGGGTGTTCGGTAGGATTAAGACATTTTTGTTCCAGAATCAGGTGTTGACTACAATTCCAGTATCACCAGTTCTGCCTGTATCTCCAGTACTATCCTACAAACAGCACCAGTCCTGAAGAGATGCCTGAGAAGAATTTATAGAAATGCCATTCAAAAATAGCTACCTGATTTTCTTCTCTATACACTTCTTACCTCAGAAGATCAAAATTTTGTAGGTATGTTCCAAGTATGTATGTTCCAAGTATGCTCTGTTTGTGCATCCTTTTAAAAATACATGTTCATTCATCTAATTTCTTTAGGAAAACTGCTTTGGAGCTGGAAAAGTTTATATTTTTGCCAGTAAAAAAGAACCTAGTTATTTTTTTGTAACTGGAACATGCCTCAAAAACCATCTTGAAAACTGAAAATAATATGCTAAAAGTAACAACATTAACTGTTTTTACTTCTTGTAAATCAATTCACTGCAGTCTTAGAGCTGTCAAGAGTTATTTGTACATGCATTTATGTGCACCATGAGGTGAAAAACTGCATGGATGAGTTAAGGTCAGAGATGCACTTCTGTAACTGTGGCTATGCATACCAATTTAATTATTAAATTGGCTGATGAATAAATTCAAGGTTGATGTGAGAAATCGGGTTTTGGGTGATAGTGTGTGCAAAATTTGCACAACCGTTTACTACTGGTATTATTACTGTAGCACCCAACCATTAACTGTGAATTGCAAATAGTAAAACAGAGAATCCTTGTATCCATTGAAAGAAAACTAGCAAAAAATTCTACCAGGGAAGCCTCAGAGTTTCAAAGCAAATGAATAATTACCTTCAGAGATTAAATAGTTTAGAACAGATAAAAATTATAATCACCTGGTAGACATTGAAAGACTGTTCCTCATTCTTGGTGGTGGTCGTCATAGGGAAGATTATTTTATCTTCTTTTTCTGGGCTTACTTTTTCTGCTAGACAAGCCTACAAGAGAAAACAACAAAATTTCCATCATATTTTCAGTTTTGTGTTAAAGAATTAATTCTAGCAAAGCAGTGTTACGGCAGGACAGAATTTAAAACAATTCTAGATGCTAGAATTCTGCAAAAAATTCCAAGTGTCTTTGGTTCTAATGAACTATTAAGACACAGTGCACCTAAGAAATATGAAAGAGCAGCTGAGGATATGCCACCTTTTGGCTATCATCCTCTAGAATTCAATATCTTGGCATTTGGAAGAGCTACCTTTTGCAGAAATCTCCAGTTTGATCTTGGATCTTTGAAGTCTCTGTGTGGGCTACTGATAACTGGCTTCATATCAACATCTCCAGAGTCAAAGCAACTGTCTGCTGCTTTTTTGTGCATCTAGCCACTGCACAGCATGAATGAAGTGGCCTGTGAGCTTGTTTCCTCCATATCTCAAGCTGGTGTACGTTTGGCATGCTCTCCCTTGCAGCAGTAATGATGCCTGTGTGACTGCATGAGTTAATTCAGGGAGTTAATTGTGGTGAAGATGATCTTTACCAAATATATAATCACTTTTCTGGACAAGTCAGTTCCCTGATTGAACTTGGTATGTATCTGCACAAGCATTAAGGTGGACATGAGCAAGGGCTAGAAATCTCTGGAGAGACTACAGGACCACAATTTAAGGGTTTGAATGTTCTACTCCCTCAAAAAATGGAATGCATAAGAATCTTCCTCCAAGCGGAACAGAAGTCTGTTTAGGTAGCGACAGAAACATGGAAGAGACTAATGCTCGAAAGCCACAGTAGTGGGAGACTCCATTAATGCCTCTCTCACTTTTCCCTCCTGTTGTAGCCTTTCACATTAAGTTAGAACAAGTGATGCTGCTGAGAGCAACAGTTCGGTGAATGCATGTGAAATAAGAAATGGAGATGCGGTCTAGTTCCAGAAATACAGAGAAAGATAACCTTAATGTTCTCTTTTCCTTTAGATGGAGAAAAGTGGAAAAAATCCTCTACTGTAATGTAAGCAAAGAACTAAATTTTATATAAATTAATATACATTAAAAGGAGGCAATCAAAAGAGTTATTTACTTGCAGGTGGCATGTAATTGTTTAATATGACCTGAAGCCATCCCTCCATTTCTTGTCAAAGAGGTGTCTTAAGACTGGGACTAATAACTGAATGCAGGGTAAAAGGAGCCGTAAAGGCAGATGTTACCACAGCAGGGAAAAAAAACAAACCCTGTGATACCTCTGCTATGGTCACTTCCTGGATGACTTTTTATACTGACTGTAGTTCTTAGTTCATAGTTCCGACTCCTTTCTCGAGCTTGAAGAGACATTCTACTTTTCCAAGTAACCAAGCAATAAAAAAGAGCAAGATTTCATAGCTTAAGCAACAAACTGATCTACATGGGGAAAATATATACCTGAGGATCCACTGCAACCAGCATTAGGCTCTTCCTTCCTAAACCTCTTCTTTCTCAGAAAGCTATCTGCAAGGACTCTTCCTTCAGCTTGCTAAGCAACACAAAAAGTCAAAACCACTACCATGCACCACAGTGCTACTACACAGATCCTCTCTGTATTCATATGACAGAGCAATCTAAATGCTCGTCATTGAGAAAGAACATGGTGGCTCGCTAGAATTAATCAAGGTTCTGTAAGAAGGAAAAAGAAAGCAGCTTTAAGTTAAAAGTCCTGTGCATAAACTGATGTGGGAACATGGCCGTGTAAGAGCCATGCTTCGCGAGTGTTTTAAGACGTGAAACTAGGGAAAAAGAAACCACCTCGCTGCTTTTTAACTCGCCAAGCAGCCCATTTTCCAGGGGGCATTATCCTCTCGTTCTACTCGCACGAGGCGAGCGGGACGCGGCCGTGCCGAGCTCTGTTCGCCTGGGGGTGCTGGGCCGGGACGGACGGAGGCGGGGGCCGGGAAGAGGGGCTGCTGCGACAGGAAGGCCCGAGGCCCGCGGGAGCCCGCGGAGGAGAGGTGGCGGGGCGCTGGCTGCTGCGGCGGCCAGGCGCTGTTGCCACGAGCCGTTTCGGCGAGCCAGCCAGGACCCTGCGGGGCTGGCTGCGAGGCGGGCGGCACTAGCCGGCCGGTCCCACTCGCGCTGGGCGGGGCAGGCCGGCGGCCCGCCTCTGCCGGGCTGTGCCTTTGCCCGGGGATGCTCCGGGGGCGGATCGGCTTCTCGGGCTCCTCCTGCTTCTCCGGCGCCTCGGCCACGTCTGAAAGCGGTTCATTGTCTCTGTCGGCAGATCGGAGCCGCGGCGGTGGCGGGAGGCGGCGACAAGGTACGGGCAGGCTGATGCGGTTGGGGATGCGGTTATTCCACAGGATTTGAAGTCCCGGACAGATCTTTTTTTGGTTTTGAGAACCGTCTCAAACAACGGTTCTTTAAAGGAGATGTTTTTGAGCGGGTTACACACGCCCCTGCTTGTGGCGGCGGACTAGTGGTAACACCAGTTGCGGCGGAGCCGATGTCGCACCGACAGAGGTAAAGCTGTCGAAAATCAGCCTGCTTATTTTAGGTGGGTTTTTTGTTTCGTTGGTTGGGATTTTTTTCCCTCTCTCTCTGCTTTCCTCTGCCCCCCCCTTTTTTTAAAAAAAAATTTCTCTCCTTTTTGGTTTTTTGGGGGTTTGTGTTGTTTGGTTTTTTGTTTTTGTTTTTGGGGGTTTTTTCCCTCTTTCTTTCTTTTTCCTAGGGAACGTGGCTGATTCAGCTTAAGGTGGTTTCGTTTGTTGGAGTTAGATGAGAGAGTTTAGAGAACCCTTCCCATCATTTCAGGAAATGCCTTCCCGTTTTTCTGTTGTGTCCTGCCTCTTTCTAGGTGAAAGTGACGTGCTGATCGGAATTTGTCAGTATTTCTTAGCTGCAACAGTTACTTCAAGTGAGGCACACAGGGCGCACCTCTGCCCAATCGCCCTCGGACTGTTTCAAGTTGAGAACGCTATTGTACCAGTGTGGACAGAGTCTCAAGTGAATAGCATTCAGTCACTGCGGGTGTCTCTTTGTCACGCCAGTTTTGCCATCATAAAAATTCTTAACAAAAGCTGCAACTAAGCAGACCTCATTTCTTGAACACCAGTAATTCTAGTAGCTGAAAACACTTGAGATCTTCGGCTGCAGTGCATACAGAAATAGGCATTATAGGGCTATGCTTTGACACTGCCATTTGCTTAGGGTTGGCAACTTTATCTAACTCTAAAAAATATTTTAAAATCTCCCAAAGGAAACAGTATCTTTTAGAAAAAGAACTTTAATGATCATATAGTTAAATGGATGGTATGTTTCACTGTATTATGAAGTCTTTAAGTGATGATTTCTGGGAAGCAATTCTTCAAATCTCATTTACCACTAGATTCTCAAAAGAGGTATATTTCCAAAAGCTGAAGTAGCAGTATCACCTGGAATGCTAATATAATGTTATAATTCAGAATTACAGTACATTTGCTGTATTTTATTAGTTTAGTTGCAGTTTTACTAATCTATTAAAAAAATAGGCAGGTTTATAAAAAAAAAAATAGGCAGGTTTATGAGTTTCACCTATTTAGTATTGGAAAGTCTTTTAACTTTTAGGACTACCAGTGATCCTAGAACACATCCTCCAAATGAACTTTTTCTTTATCCATTGAAATACCAATCTGCATATTGTTGGTACAGTAAGCTTTTGCCTTATGAAGATGTGTAATTTCTAGCTACAGAAGAAGACTGGAAAGTGATGTTTTGTCAGTAATATTGTTGTGTGTTATTCTTTGACCAGCTTTGTCATGTTCCAGCATTTTACTTTTTTGAGTAGCAAACTATGTTTCTAACGTTAGCTCACAGAAGCCATTTTGGTGGTGATTGCATTGGTGCAATGTTATATGGGTGAAGGGTGTAGTGAGTAAATTTGATGAGGAAAAGTAGACCTTCGTGATCTTTGCTCTATTTATCATGCCATGAACAAACGTTTTCCTAATAATTCTATAAAATGCATGATGACATTTACTGTTATTATTCTTTTTACAGTCAGCACTGCTGCATTTGGTGAATTTTAAGTACATAAGAGATAATTACATTCATCTCGTATGATTGCTCTGAAAGGTCAGCATACAGGACAATCATTTTTTGGTAACAAAACATTGTGCACATAATCCAGCATTAGGTATTCATTTTTCAGTGGAAGAAATCAATCTGGGAAATCAACAGAATCACGGAATATTCTGAGCTGGAAGTGGCCCACAACTGAGTATTTGAAGTATTTGAAGTAATTTCTGTTTAATCTGTAAGCTCTTTGACTTTAAAAATGCTGCACAGACTGTTTAAAATGAAAGTATGCTGGAAATTTTCTCAGACAGAAAATGGCTAGGGAAGACTTTGACAAAGACAGCTAAGATTCAGTTGCTCAGAAGTCATTGCAGGGGAGCAGGTATTTGTAATTCTTCACTCAAATGTCTTTACTTTAATGCAGCCTGGTTTTTCAGTCTTCCCACAACAGACCCACACTTGTTTGTTCTAATGGAGTGTTTCATCCCAGCCTTTTGTCCAAAGCTGAAAGACAGAGCATGTTTCTTGACAGCTCTAATATGAGGCACTCTTTCTGTCTTTCTGCAGTCTTTTTAATATCCCAGAAAAAAAAATAGCAGTTTAATAGGATGGTCTTTTTTAGCTATAAAGTTAGTTTTTGCTACTTGAT